TTTTGAGCTAGAATGCTCATCTTCGAACTCGATCTGTCTTTTTATGATACAAAACGACCCTGAAAATCCCAGGTCGCTATCTCAATTCTTTTTCGAGTTATCGTGCGGACAGACAGACAGACAGACAAACAGACAGACAAACAGACAGACAAACAGAATGAAACTTTTCCGGTCAGTGGAGTAATGGGCTTCGCTAATCGCTCAGCCAATAACATTGTTCTTAAATAAAGAGTGTCATTAAATTTCATGACAAATTTATTAAAATTAATGTTTATTGCGTAATGAAATTTCAAACATTTTTAACAGTGAGGGGAGTCAGGGTTTGGTTCCCTCATCAAACCCTGTAAAGCCTTCAGCACATTTTCAATTGTAGTGTTTGGATACCTGAAACAACGAAAGAATAAAAATTAATTTCTGTAACACAGAATCAGCTAACACTGGGTCAGTAAGTGAGCATCTTTCAAAATGTTATTTTTATGCTCAGTTTTGATGCAAACTTTTTAAAAACATTGTATGGGGTTTCTGTTTACTTTACCATTCGTCATCTAGCAGATCTACACATATGGTGCCACCCTCCATGACGTTTGGGTGGAAAATTGGTGAAGTGAACTAAACCTGGCACATAAATAATGTTTTAGAAACAGAATTTGAAAACCATCCATATAAACAGGGTGGCCTCAGAGTTTACTTCACATGAAAGGTCCCCATACTTTCCCCAGGCACTTCCCCCCTGATTTCCTTGACAAAATATTTCTGACATGAGGCAACCCAGACTATATTTTGAACATGCTTGTCAACTAGAGAGAATCCAATAAACACTATGGAATCCAGCTTACGGTAGGAGCTTTGAATGGGAAACTGCTCGTAATTTTAATGTGAACCCCAAACAATCCAGTTGCATAGGCGGAATCTTCAGGCCCACATACGTGGGCTCCAAACTCAAACAAGTTTTCCAAATCATCAGGGATGATGATGCCAGGCAGAGGATTCTGTAAGAAAGACGGTAGTATGTGAATGAAGTTAGCACCGAACAAAAGAAAGCACTAGCTCCTGCCCTTAGGTTCAAAAAGTGTTGGATAAGAGTTAAGAAAGCAGTGGAGGGGGGGGGCGGATTTCAGATAAGAAATAATTGACTATCGAAAACAACAGGTAGTAGGCATGATCGTCTGATAGACGTGGGATAGACGCGACGGGGGGAGGGAGGAAGGACACGAAAAGAACTCAACTGTCGGACCGAATGGCCTTTGGATTTAAAGTATTTAATTTACTGCTCACCTTTTTCAGAAGCATGAGGTCATGCGACACCCTACTTAGAGCCTTCGCTTCAGACTGCGCCCGCCGAGTCAACGTTGCTCTAAAAGCACTCACTGCAATGCAACACAGTTCAGAGACGACGACGAGTCAAATGTCCACCTTCGCCGTCAGAAGCCGGTGGTACTACTAGCGCAAGTTTCGGGCGGTACAGCCCTTGTTCAGAACAGTTCAACACAGAGCACACCAGATGGCGCGTCCGGCGCGAAGCGGGAAACGCACTTACCCAGTTCAAAAGTTGACGTTGGTCAGGGTCTGCTCACTGATTTGAGCAACCGCACCGTTAAAAATATTTCATTACATTTTCATTACATGTTGTGAAGCTATTTTCATTAGGTTATCGTAATGATATTTCATAACTTTTTCATTACGTATTGTGAAACTTCATTAGAATGTGATGAAATTTAACGATACGTAATGAAAAAGTTATTAAATATCATTACGAAAATCTAATGAAAATAGCTTCACAACATGTTGTGAAAATGTAATTAAATATTTTTAACAGTGCGGCCCTTCTCTGTGTGCGTCAAAAATGGACAATTCTGGCGATTTCCAGTCCAATATATGTTCTACACGTCTGACTTATACGTCCGAATCGCGTCTTAAGCTACCTGCGATTTACAATAATAATGCGTGTCTGATTTCGGTAAACCATTCATGCTACACGATCTGTCCTATTTCCGACCTCCCTGTACGACCTCTGTCCGGACACGTCCATTCTGACGTCCGAATGAGTATGAACTCTTGACCACCACTCAGACCTAGACTGTCTTGCTTTTGCATATCCGATTTTAGTCAAACAGGGTGACAGGGGATATAGAAGCAGAGTTGAAAGTAAAACCAGGATAGTAAGTTTAAAAATAACTCAAAAGTTTAATTAGCAAGGTAACATACATAACTTATTTCAATGAAAGCAATTTATTAACTTCCAGTTTAGCTAGTTTCTAAACAATCAACAAAATTTCTGGGTAGGTCCCACCAGAAATGGCCTGTGGCAAGTAGGGCAGATTGACAAGTTTGGCTTGCAGCCGCTACAGATAAAATGACAGCATGAATTAATTAACGTATCAGCTGTAATGAGGAGGCAATTGCCACACTTTATGCCAGTTACAGGCAGTATCGGCTGCTGAACAGGTTGAGCTTGAGCAGGTTGAGCTTGAGCAGGTTGCAGTTGCTGCAGCTGCTCTCGGATTTGTTGCTGGACTTGCTGTCGAATTTGATGCTGCAGTTGGTGAAGGTCTTGCAGTGCGCTTGACATTGTAGCAGGACTAGCTTGGCCAGGTTGGGTTGGCAACGGCTCCCTCCTTGGCCTTCCCCTCCCTCGTCTGGCTACTGTAAAACACCAATTCAGACAATTTAATGTTGTAATAATATCAGAAGTCAAGAAAACTTAAGGGATATGAAAAGAATTTGGAAAATATCATACATGAACAAAAAGTACGATTAAATTGCCACATCAAAACACTTATAAAGATTTGGGTGTAGTTAGATCCCTAAAAAGTGTCGAAACCTAGCTATGAAGGGAGGCAGGGTTGTTAACGTTACTTTGAAAATGTATCGCGATACCGTTACCTCGTTACTCTACCCTCGGTAACGCGTTACCGATACCGTTACAGCCTTCGGAGAATTGTAACTGTTTTACTTAGAATTGTTAGAATTTAGAATTGTAACTGAGAATTGAAACGTTACTGGTAACGTCGTTACTTCGTTACTCGATACATGAAATTAATATTCTAAAAAAATTTCTAGAACGAAACAGTAAGGTGTTAATGTATAATAAGGGGTATTTTATAGGTAAAAAAAAAAGCATGTTAACTAAAGCCTAATTTCTTTAAGAAATATTCTTCGTATTGTTGTGTACAATGAATTTTAGCAAAGAGAACAACACTTTTTAACGTTCTAGACAAGGGGGAAATTACATGCGAAATAAGTCTTACACCTCCCGCAAAATAAATGCGAAATAATGGCGAAATAGTCGCGAAATACCACCCAAATACCGCGAAATAACCGAAATACGTTGAGATAACTCGTACGCTGTGTCCCCTAGTCATTTCCCCCTCGACTTGTTCGGCGGAGCGAAACGGAGGCGACGCACTGCAGTGACTGACTGAATCAAATGTGACCGAAGGAAGCTGTCACCTGCTGTTCCTGCCCTTACCCTCTTACCCTTCCGCCTAGCCTTCCGCCTAGCCTGCCTCCACCACTCCACCAGGCAACACGCCGGTGGCGGTAAGGAAAGCAAAAGGACTGCTGACCTACGGCTGACGCATATGTCTGGGCCAGAGGCTGGCGCTGATACGAAGCGGTCTCCTTGTCACCATACCGCACTTCCTCGGCCAGCGAGCAAGTGCGTGCGGGGAGTCGTAACATCCCCTCCTCCCTCTCCCAGTCCCGCGCCACAGTCCAGCGGCCCTAAGCGCCGCGCCCAGCTATGATGAGAAGTCATAATTTAAGACCTGACCCCCCCCCCTTCTGCTCCGTGGTGTTCACGGAAAAACATTGCACGATTGCTGCAGAGCGCTTAAACTTT